AAAAAATTTATTAAATAACTTAAATCATAGTAAAATTTAATAGTGCTTTCTCCGCTTTTTTTTTTCCCTGACCAACTTCCTCCCTTTCAGATATAAGGAAGTTTTTACCCACAAACCAAGAAAAAAAGTTTAAAAAAACCATAATTAATGATGAATTTAATTAAAAATTTCCAATACGAAAAAAATAAGGCACTTAAAAATGCTACTTTATAAAATTGAAAAGAGTATAAGCTTTTTTTTTTATTTGGTTTCAAGGATTTACTAAGATCGGAACGTGCTTTCATACCCAGACAACGCTTATAGAAGAATATTGATAGATAGTCTACTAACAAAATTCTTACATTGACAGCTCCTCCAATTTTGCGGGTTGAAAGTAAAAGGTTTTTTTTTTCTTTTAATTTGGACCAAAACTAAAATCTCCCAAACTTGCGGGGCAGTGTAATTGTTAGAGGGACTTAAATTAAATGTCGTTTTACTTTGGGCAACACAACTCCAGCTACCAAAATTAATGATGAGAAAATGATCAGAGCGGCTAATTAATGAGATTTAAATGTTTTCAATAAATTCGGGTCAGAGAACATGAAAAAACATTTTTTAAAAAGGGAGGCTTGGAATTGAAGAAAGGATCAGAACAAGTGAACCAATTTGGGACCAAGAAATCTAATCTCCTGTCTGCTGTTTTGAGATCACTAGGGGTTCATTTTGTCTCCCACTTTGCCCATCACTCACTATGCAATTTATCACAACGGACCACTTTCACTCTCTTTTCTTCTAAGCTCTCATAAATGACCCTGTATATCTATTCCTCACAATTAATTCTCTTTTCATATATATATATATATATATAGGGCTAATGAATAAAATGGACCCCAAACTCTTACTCTAAAAGCGTCCTGAACCTTGAACTCTTAAAATATGTAAAATAAATTTTAAAATTTTAAATTCATAGCAAAATAAATTTTGATCGTTAATTTTTTTAACACCATTACTGTTCACACGGTATTGTTTACTGTGGGCCCTAGTTAATACTGAAATGTTATTGTTAATTAGTGTCACAAATCTTAAACTATTATGTTAGTAGTGTTTTGGATCCTAAATTTTGAAATTTTAAGCAAATCACTCCCACCAATTATGTATAGAATGTTAATTATTATATAAACCAAATTAATCTTAGCATGATTCGTCACAGTAAATGCATTGTTGGTCGTGGCGAACAACTCATAATTTTGTGAAATGACGTTTTTTGCGCTTTTTTACAATGTTTTCCAAACGATTAATATTTCATAATTCTATATACTCTATAACTCTAATTTATTCTTATTTTAAATAATATTTATTTATTTAATAATAAAAATTTAGGATCTCATTTGAAAAAAAGTTTAAGTACCATAAAAGTTTACAAATGATGGATGCAAATGCTAATAATTTTTCATCAACAAATTTAAAACTCAAATTAATTAGTTAATCAAAATTATCTAATAGTTAAACTTCTTTTCAAATGATACAAGTTTTCACCGTTAAATTAAAATAAACATTATTTAGTTAATTAAATTAGAGTATATGGAAGCATGAGATACTAATTGTTTAAAAAACATTACAAAAAAAAGGTAAAAATATCATTTCATAAAAGTATAGGTCATTCGCCATAACTAACAATGCTAAAATTAATTTAATCTACATAAAGTTAACGTTTTATATATAAATGGTAGGAGTAATTGGCTCAAAATTTTAAAGTTCAAGATTTAGAATGCTATAAACATAATAATTTAGGATCTATTATACTAATTAATAATGACATGTCAGCATTAACTGGGGCCCACAATGAACAATACAACTTGAACAATAATGATATTAAAAAAATTAATGATCAGGATTTATTTTGTTATAAATTTAAAAGTTTAACACATTTTAAGAATTTAGAGTTTAAAGTATTTTTGGAGCAAGAGTTTAGAATCCATTTTACTCATTAACATTATATATATATATATATATCACAATCAATGTTTTTCTCAACCATAAACAACACCACATTTTCCCCATTGGCTCAATTCATTTTCGTATTCCTCATCATCATAAAAACGTTGTCAAGTGCTCCATCTTATTTGAAGTTTAGGGCAAAGTTAATCATCATCACGATCCTTAAAGAATGGTAATTAATATTTTTAAATGTATACAAAATATTTGACTTTTCAATATTAACCTACATTAAAATAAATGCCACAATAACGTGTCCCAAAAAATTATAACTTAATTATGAGAGAAATGTTTACATTCAGTATTCGATTGTGTTTCGAATAAATTATCTTCAATAAGAGAATACTTGTAAACCATCAAAAAAAATTAAAAAAGGGTGATATTGAGAAAAAAAATTAACTACTACATTAGAACCAAATTGAGTTTTAAAATTTTGCCCTATAATTAAGACAAGAGAACTTAATTTCGTTAATTCCTTTTTTGTGATGTTGTTATTACTTGTCTTAGTTAAACTTCATAAATAAATTTGTTGAAAGAAAGTAGTCATCTTATGCTCCGTTTTAATCAATAATTCAATTAAAATAGTCATTTCCTATAATAGTCACCAAAGGTAAATATGTTGTTTTGTCAAAAATCAAAATGACAAGCAAGTCACTGAGGATTAAATAATAATTATCACATTTTACGGTTTTTAATTGTTATTTGCATATTTTGGGAATGTTTTTGGTCATTTTCCCTATTTAATTAAGATCATATTAATTGATTTCATTACTTTAAGGAAAATTAAATATTATTTGACCTAGGTTCTTGTATAACTAGATGTTATGTTTAAAATGAGCCACACCATTTATAGTTTATGAACAGTTGGGTGCATTCTATCCAACTCTCCAAGAGACGAGTTTCTGTGTTTACATTCGTTTGTTAATTACTTTTTTGTCATTATTTACTTGTCCTAAAAAAACACAAACTAAGGAGAAATAGAAATTTATGTACTCCATTCATTCAAAAATACAAAGCATTTTTTTCTAAAGTAAGATGTTAAAAATATGAGGTACTTCATTTATTTTAAAGTACAATTAATGGGATTTTTCTAAAAATATCCTTAATCAAGAGTGTAATTAACTAATTGAAACATTATATATATAAGGATAAACATGAAAAGAGTGTATAATTTTAAAAAAAATTAACTAATTTATTGTGGGTGTCATTCAATTAAAAATTTCTTATAATATTGAATGATGTAAGAATTATTTTTCCAGTTTTGCCCTCCATTATTTAAATCACACTATTTTAAATATCAACTACCTCCATTTAACAAGGGTATTATTGGAAACAAAAAATAATTATACCTTTGAATTTATAACAAGATATATGTTTTGAGACAAAAGGAATGTAAATCATGACAAGTAAATAGTAACTGAAGAAGTACTTTATTAGATAAAACTCAAATTTTGATATTTAATTTCTCTTTCAAAGAGTTCCTTGTGCTTGAATAATAATAACAATCAATTTAGTTACCCACATAATTTGTTCATGCACGTGTGATTTTTAAGAAAATCATCATGTTTACCATGCTATATTAATACAAGTGTACCCTGAATCATTGGCTCTTATATAGTGTGTGGATGATGTTTAATTTACATATAACACTAGAAAAAAATGACTTTTGATGGTGACTTTTAGCAGTGATAAAAAAAATTATTTTTAAAAGTGGGCTTTTAACGATGATAAAAAAATTCGCTATTATAAGTTTACTTTTGGTGGCAATAATTTATTGCCATTAAAAGTTGTCATAAAAAATATACTTTTAATGATGATAATTAAATGTCATTGTCAAAAGTAACAAAAACCTTGACATGTTGCCACCAAAAATATACCGTTACCAAAAATATTTTTATTAAAAAATAATTCAAAAATTAAAATTAAAAATAATTTATATAATTACACAATATTAGTGCCAAAAGTCTTTTTATAAAAAATAATTTATATAATTACACTTTTGGTGGAAACCTTCAAAAGTATTTTTATAAAAAATAATTTATATAATTACAGACAAAATGTATTTCTATAAAAAAAGAATTAAAAATTAAAAATAAATTATATAATTACTTTTGGTGACAATATTCGTATCCACTAAAAGTATTAAATTGAAGTTGTGCTAAGTTTAATTATTAAATTATTTTTAATTTTGTATTATTCATAATTTTTTTAGACATATATAGCTCATGTTTTTTTAAGAATTATGTTATTCGGCTGGCATTTTAGTATGATAAATTAAAATCTTGGTGGGTTATTAGTTATTATTTACAATTATAGTAAAATATGCATTTAATTATATTCATCAAATACTATTGCTATTCATAAGCCACTACCATAGCATGGCTACAAAATTTATAAAATGATCTACAAAATTTATATAATGATTGATGATTGATATTGATTTTGTGGTGGAAAAGAATATATGGTTTCCTGAAGCCTTTGAATATGCTTCACTGAAGGTTACAGCTGTTACATTTACGTTTTCATCAAGCATCTCTCGTCGTCAGTGGATATATATACACATATATATTGATAAACTGATTTTAATTTGTTTTGTGTGTGCGCGCGCGCGCGCGCAATATATATATATATATATATATATATATACTTAAAGGTGTTGATGATCGGTACGTAGTGGGGCATATAATGCAAGCCACGATCATAACAAAAACTTTCTAATAGCGAGGTATCACGCAACGTGAAAATCATCCTCCAATTTGAACCTATTTGTCTCCCACCTTTCTCTCTCTCTCTCTCTCTCTCTCTATATATATATATATATATATATTACAGCATGCATGAATGATTGATGTCAAAAAGATGGGCTTTGCTTGTGAAAGAAAGCTTAATATTCTGCAACAACTTCGCACCTATCACTGCTTTTTAGCTTTCTCTTGCACACAAAGTCAAGACGCAAATCAAAGAGGAAAAGTGGTAAATCATATAGATCACATCTCTCTGTGTGTGTGTATCGAACTTCCACACACTGATCACTCAAGATATATATATATATATATGTAAAATTGTTTATTGCTACAGGAATCGGTAGGAACCTAAGAAAAAGGAGAGAAAAGACATGAAAAAGAAAGAAAGTGGTAAGAAAATAAAATACATCATTGATCTGATTCTCCTTCTTTTTCTCTCTGATCTTGATCTTTTTCTTTATAATCATGATAGTTTTTGTAATGACTAACATCACCTTAAAAGTTAGAAACCAAGTGAATAACCTAGCTTTGGCTCAATAAAAGAATATACAAAGATGCTTTTTTAAGCTTAGTAGAAAGTGACCTTAACAATATAGAGCAGTACCCTAGCTATATATATATATATATATATATTATCTGTGCATTAGATCTCTACTTGGTCTTCTCCGTCTTTGAAGATCTATTTCAAGAATCACGACGTGCCAAACTTTAACTAGGCATGTTCGTTGCTTTCCCACGTTGATCTCCCTAGAGTGAACTCCAAGCTTAAATTCTCATACTCCTTTAAGCTTCTTGACTGTAACAAATTATTATTTCCCTGCACAAAGTAACCATTTTTGTACTTCCTCAGGCCACTATTATACATTCAAGTCGGAAATTGTGTGAGTGTGTGTGTGCTCGAATTAACTAGTGATGATCTGATGAGGTGTAGGTCATGACCTCGGATTTCTCAGTTCTTTGCTGAGAAGATGATAAAATATCTGGTGGTCTGATTCCATCTAAATCTGTGGAACTAGCTTCCATCCATGCTCGTCTGCTTCCATATCCATTTGGAAAGAACAAAATAAACATGTTATACTCTTAATTTGCTTGGATATATATAGTAGTAAATGAAAGACAAGTTATCTTGTGTGTGCGCGTGTCTGATCTGTGAGTGAATACATATATTGATGATATAATATGTAATTTGTTTTATGAAAGGACAAATATGTCATTAAAATTAATGGTCCATAGAGCTATATAGACAAGAAAGAGGGTTTCACGTGAGACAAAAAGATATATATATATATATATATATATTTATATCTAAGCATTTGATACACACACACACATATATTGGACAAGACTAAAGAAATGCAATATATTGTACATGTCTAAAAATATCATAGATGCTCTTTTCAACTTGACAACAGATCATGTAACAGATGTACGTATAAAGAATTGCATGTAAGTTTCCTCTTAAATTTCCAGCAAAAGTGAAATGAAATTTAAAAGCTTCGTCTCTATATATAACCTCTATTATCTTCATAACTCTCCTGCATATTATTGAGTCACAATCAAATCCAGTTTCATATATAACTCCCTAATAATGGATTCCATATAACTCCCATTTAGATTCAATGTTTTTTTTTTAAAATTTGGACAAAATGCTCTTAGAATTTAGTATAAATAAGGCCTCTTTCCAATGTAATAAGCATCAAGAAATACTGTAGTTTTCTGTTATATCAAAGCCGAGAGTGCTCTCTCCTTCCTTGTGCTTACTCCAAAAAGACTTTAAATTTGATGAAATTCAAGGGCATTTCTCTCCATTAAACCATAGGTCTAAGAGCATTTGAGACCTTAATTAAACTCATTTTAGTATATAACATTCTGTTTTGACTTTTAAAATGTGCAATGTCACTCTTACCGTTAGCAAAAGTTAATTTTAATCAAAAAGTTATATAAAAAGATCTGAAAAATTATAGAAAATGATTGTAAAATTATAGACAAAGACCCAAAAATTAGAAAAAAGAACCAAGAAAAATTTTCTTGATCCTTTTTTTGTGTAATTTTTAGGTTAACTAACAATCAAAATTAATATTTACTAATGGTAGATGCCCTATTGCATTATTTTGAAAATATTGAAGGAAAACATATTGCAAAAAAGAGTTTAGGATTCCAAATGCTCTTGGACCTATAGTTCAAAAGCAAATTTTTCATTTAATCCTATATTAAATATATTACTGGTAAGTTCTAAAAGGAGAAAAAAAAATAATCTTTCTAGGACAAATCAATGATACAACATTTCTATGCAAAACAGGTTAAAATATATGCTAGGTTTTGGCCTAATAAGTTTTGCATTAATTTTAGATCACTTAAAGCCTAAGCCTAACTTAACCTATTCTTGAGCTTAGACCATTTTCTTATTAAAAGCTTGCTTAAAATCCTACTAAAAGTCCAAGTAATCCTTTAACTTATTAAAACCTATATTAAACTAATCAAAATACTTAAGTAAAATTTTAATTAATTTAATAAAATTATAGTAAATTATGATATATTCTTTCTTATCTTTATTGTAAGACACTTTAAATTATTTTATGTATTTTAAGAAAAGTTAATTTTTTCTTGCATAAAAAATTATTTTTATCCTTAATTTTAACATATGTAAAAATGAAAGTGGTTTAATACCTTAACGTTAATCAATAAAAAATAAAATTAAAAAATACTTTAATTATTATAAAATATTTTACATTTTAAATTAAAAATTATTTTTAAAAAGTGTCATACATTAAATGGTAGGACTTGGAGGGATGGGTGGGAGAGAGAGAGCGTGTCGGTTAATCTCCTGGTCAGGCAGGCTTTATGTAAATCGGCTTGGCTCATTTATTTAAATAATCTAAGCTAAATCACATCACATACCCTAAATCTTTAGCTTATTTCCATCTTTGGCACAACTAATCATAAAAATGTCGTCAAACTTTCAAAACACTGAAAGTAGTGCCACAACGCAAGGGCCCTATTTTTCTGCTGAATTAATCACTATATTTAAATATAATGTATTATTAGTTACTCCTTGACTTTAAAATCTCATATCCCATCAAGTACAGAAATTAATGTTATTTACAAAAAAAGAATGAAATGATCACAATACTCTCTCTCTCTCTCTCTTTCTCTCACATGAGGAGTAAAAATTGTGAAATGAAATTCTTATGTCTCAAGAGGTGAAGAATATAATATCCAAGTTGATTACAAACTACAACCCAGACTTCCAGACATATTAACTTTGTGACATTATGCACTACACACAAACATATTGCACCATATCGCTCATTGTATTAGAGCAAATGCTAAAACAAGAAAGTTGTTTATCAAGTGGGGTTAATGTGTTTCCAACATAAGATTAATTGTGCGCGCGTACCTGGCCAACTTGCAAATTTATAAATCAACTTTTTGAAATAATTAACCCTAATTTAAATGATTTCAAGTTTAGAATTTAGCCTATACTGAAATTTTCGGCATTGACAAATAAGTCTTCGTATAGTACACTGCATGTTTGACCAATGAATTTAAAGACGATTCTCATTTAAGAAATCGAAATTCACGATTTTCTAGTTAGCTAGTTGACTACTTCTTTGTTTTCTTCTGCTTTTTAAGACAACAAGAGGAGTCATGTGAACATCTCCGATGATATGTTACATACTTACAGTTGGGAGGCTTATTTAGTTAATTTCTACTTGTTTTTCATTAGGCTAATGTATCTTATTTTCTTCAAATATCAACTTCATTAAAATGAGGATTTTACTGGCAAAAGATCCAGAAAATTAAAAGAAATTATGTTCAAATTAAAAGTTTGTTGTGCACAATTAAATTGGTGAATGGGGACCTTTGACCAATTTCCCCAAATACCTCCTTGTTGGCTTAATTATTAGATATTGTCTGTTTTGTTTAGGATCAAAAATTAACATTTGGAAAACGGAAATATAGGGATTGTTTGAAACTATTTTTATTTTATTATTCTGAAAACTGGTGTTTTATAGAACATATTCTGAGAATAAAAAAAATAATAAAAATAGATATTTTTTTCATTCTTCCTTGTTCTCTAGAATAATAATTATAGAACACCTGAAAGTTATTTTCATTTTTTTATTCTTTAGAATAATATTTTATTTTTTATTCTTTAAAACACTTTTTGAAAACACAATGCCAAATAAATTTTTTTATTCTCTTATTCTGGAGAACAGAAAACTATTCTCAAAACAGGTTTCTAAACAGGTCCATAGTACCCTTACTTTGAAATTTGCTTTCCAAGTATAGATTTTCTCTTTATAGATTAATTTTTGCAATTTGGGCACATATATATATGTATATATAATATAATATAATATAACTAAGGCAATATTTCTACCATGTGTGTTAAGTCAGCTAAAAAATCATACATTTGTCTACTTTAGACATGAATAAATTTTGCAATGAAAAAAATAACAGATTTTTTTATTCTTTTATTTTGGAGAACAGAAAAATATTCTCAGAACATGTTTCTAAACAGGCCCATAGTACCTTTACTTTGAAATTTGCTTTCCAAGTATAGATTTTCTCTTTATAGATTAATTTTTGCAATTTGGGCATATATTATATATATTATATATATAATATAAAAAGGCAATATTTCTACCATGTGTGTTAAGTCAACTAAAAAATCACACATTTGTCTACTTTAGACATGAATAAATTTTGCAATGGGACAAAGAATAGATTTTTTTTATTCTTTTGTTCTAGAGAATAGAAAAATATTCTCAGAACATGTTTTTTAAACAGGCCCATGGTACCCTTGCTTTGAAATTTGCTTTCCAAGTATAGATTTTTCTCTTTCTCTTTATAGATTAATTTTTGCAATTTGGGCAAAATATATATATATATATAGATATATATAGAACTAAGGCAATATTTCAACCATGTCTGTTAAGTCAGCTAAAAAATCATATATTTGTCTACTTTAGGCATGAA